TAAAGGATATGGCTGGTGATATTCTATATACACTGTAGACTTATGGAACAAATGACCAGAGGAGTTAAGCTGTGCCCCAAGTAACTTTAAGAGCTTAAAACCCTCTAGTTCTCTGCTTCCTTCTAATGTTGTGTATTCCCTTTATTTATATATTTATCTTCTTTAATGTCTCTTATTTTGTGCATGCTGACATTTTCTTTTACCTTCTACTTGAAACTTTTAAAGTCCTTTAATTGCCTTTAAGTGCATGAATTGTGCTAAATAAATTTGTTTTTGCCTACAAACCTCAAAAGAGACCTAAATCAACAAAGAACATATTCTACTAACACATACTGTGTGTGCATCTAAAGCCGGGTGTATTTGATTCCTCTGTGCTATACAGCTACACCATTAAATGAAGTTTAATCAGATGATTGAGACACATCCAATGAGAAGCTTTTTATAGGAGAATGAATGACAAATGGATTATTGCTTCTACAACGCCAATTTATGCCATAAAAAGCCAGTAAGAGTTTAATGTCAGCTGTGGAGGCTCACATAAACACACAGAGCACATACACAGCCGCCGCCTTGTACTGCTGGTACTGACCCACTGGCAGCAGCAGCTCTGTTAACACAAATACTGTAGACCACATTGTATTAGACTCAGGCTGTATGGCTGCTGACACACTGCAACATTGTGCTCTGCCTCTACACACTGAGCTTTTATTTATTTTCACTAGAACAGGACACAGTGAAAAGGCAAGGATAACGACAGTGGAGGTCAAAGTGCATTAAAGACAATAAATGTGACACATTTATTACAGTTAAGCAAATAATACAATGAAAATACAACTTATATCTTATATATATATATATATTTATATTACTTATATATATATAGTATATTTACAGTGCCTGTTTTGTTTTTCAGCCTCCACCAAAGCGGCTAAACTCCTTCACTGATGAGCACTCAGTCACATTACACCAGTAGTACAATAAACAGAACAAGCTGAACTCTATTATAAAATCTATCAATTTAATGTGGCCTTGATCCGTAACTACCATATGGTTGACGCGATGCAGATCAATGGTGTATTTAATATCTAGCACAGACTGCAGCACTTTTTTGAATTAAATCTACACCGAATTATGAAGTGCTTCAGACTGACCCAGAAAATGTATTAAAACTTAGATTATGGGAGAGATACTTTGTCCAATCAGCAAACAATCACTACATTGACAGACTTTTGAACGGTGTTTGGTAGGATTTGTGAATCTAGTAAGATAGACTGGAGATTATGGGGGCTCAGTAAATGTATGGTAGCATTACATTCAACCAACATGTAGCTACAGTGTAGACAAACTGTGGATGATTATGATGATGATGATGATGATGATGATGATGAGGGTGAACACTTACCAGCCTTCGGCGGCCTTCTGTGTGTATTTGTTCCTCTATACCCATCGCTGGTGTGAACAGCTCACCCAGCAAAACTCGGTTTATGACTCTTGTTAAAAGTCGACGCATTGTGACAAAGTTCAACAGCTTCTTTAAAAAGAGTGACAAATAACGACAAAATGCACTTAAAACTGTGACTTTCTTCAATCGGCCCATGAATCAGACTGTTAGAGAATAACATACATGTTCACTGTGTCACTGGTTTCAATGGGATTCACTAACTGTTAGCACTGAACTATTAATGTTTATCTGTATATGCATTTTAATGTATGACCTACGTTAGATAGGAAGCTCCTCGGAGAAAAGGCCAGATAAGGTGTTTTCACATGGTATTTATGTCATATATAATGTTAACTATGTTACTGTAACTTTAACTGGTATAACAGGTTAGCTCCCTGTACCTTGTTGGCTAACTCAAGGTAGCTAAACACCGACGGACACACTTAAAAACAGCTCCAAGAGCCCAAACACTGGCACCGACGGGCTCACTTATGATACCGCTTAAACTGGCTATTGTACAGTTTCTACAACTATTGTCAAGTGTCCTGTTAGCCAGTCGTCCTGTCCTGATACTGTCAATGGTTGTGCCTGTCTCACACCAGTCAACGAGCATTACTAGGACAACGTGACTGAACAGGCTGTTCCTACTCTGCTGGCCTACAGCGCCACCTACCCTGGTGACTGAGCAATACAGCACCATCTACTCAACAAAGGCAGTAGACAGTAAATGGTAGGCGTTTTAGTGTCTGTGTTCAGCAGGAAAACACCTATTCATGTGATACTTTGAACACTGTGTGTTTTCTGAGTGGATGGGGACACGTTGAACAAGAAAAAGTGATTGCAAAGCAGTGTCAGTCTGTCCCACCCCGTCATCACACCTGTGGGTTTACTGACTGACACACCTTCAGCTGATCAGGAGCTATCAGTGAAATCACCTGCTGCAGCACATCACTGGGTGACCTTTTCATGTTTTATCAGAAAAAAAAATCCTAACTTATCATGTTTGACGTAACAATGTAGTCTGTGGATTTATGGTTTCAAAACAGCAGAAGTGTTGTTTTTTAAACAACTTGGCAACCAGAAAATATATTTAAGAAAATACACTGTACTGTGTAGAGGTGGCCGTGGGCCTCACCTGGGGGCACCTATTGACCCCCTGTTCCTCCCATTCTATGTGTATTGTGCCTGGGTTATTAAATAATGAGTAACTTGGTAACTTTATGACACACACATTAATTTAGTAAAATGCACCATTTAAGTCAGAATCAGAATCAGAAATACTTAATAATCCCAGGGGGAAATTACTTTCGTTACAACTCCAGATATACATACAACATATAATATATTAAGAACATGTATATATATATATATATATAAGGTAAAATGTACAGATATGCACAATGTGCAAATAGTGCAAAAATTATTGTCCATGTTTGAGGTCAGATTACAGAGAGGGGGTG